GTCCAGTCAAGTCGGGTTTTCATTCGAATCCATTTGATCCGACCCTCTCATCCTTAAGTTGCTTCATCCTGCATCCTCGCGACACCCCGCTTGTCCGGGGCGGGCTGCATGCGTCAGCCACGAGTGGGCTGTGAGTCCCGTGGGAAGGGGGATCCTGACCGGGTGCCCAGCGCACGTGCGCGGGTTAAGTTCGGCGGTTGGCCCCCAGGTGCGTGCGAGTCTGCCCCACCGTTAACCTGTTTTGTCATCCCTCAGCCCTGAAATGATCATTTCTGGTCAAAAGGGCTCTAATCCAAACAACCAACCGAATCCCTTTCATGCGTTGTATTCATTCCATTCTATCCATTCGGACGCCGAGAAAAGTTTCCTTGAGATGTGCTGGTCGCACGGAGTTTAGGGAAATGCCTAGCAGAAGATGGGAGGATTTCTGCTCACGACTTTGTTCCCTGTTGTGGACTGCTTCATGCTTACGGACATGTCGAAAGGGATAGCGACTGAGGTTGGCGCGGATGCATTTTTCGATGCTGTGCGGTGATCGGAGACAGGTGTATCTTAGATATCCAGCTTTCCATTACATCGGCGCAGCTCAGAATCCTGCCGATAACGAACTGCTCGCTCCCCATGTGCGAAGAAAAATATCACGGACACATGCGTCATATTGAGAGGCAGCCTGATTAGTACGTATATGTACAACCCTTTTTTATAACTTTATTCCGAATGGTTTGCATGGGTGACTTCGGGTTCAGAGTACACGCCAAGCATAGCTTGCTGCGTGTACCCCGAACCCACCACCCAAGTCGTGCGGTCCAGTTCAAGGGATAGTTTTGCCTCCGCCCTTTTGCCAGACAGGACTGCGGAGGTTTTTTCCGTGCCGCACAATGCTGCGGCACGTAACGCTGCGTCCCGGGCCTGGGTTGACACTTGTTGGCCAGTTGCCAGCTGACCTTTTCACGCCAGGCAGGTCAAACAATGCGCCCACTCTGGGACTCGCACCCAGTGCCGCTGGATTACGAGTCCAGCATCTCCTCCTAGACCACGGGGGCGACAAGTGTAAGCGGTACACCAAGATTGGCATCCGTTCTCGAGTACGGTTTCGTTTTCCTCCATGGTCTGAGTCAAGCGATCTGTCATATTGATGGGGCAAAAAAGGCTGCGTAATGCCCAATGCTCGTGCAGTGCCATTGGGCTAATGCTGTATTTATCAGATGCCTTTAGCCCCGAGCATCGACATCCCGACGCGACGCAAGTTGCTAACTCCCTCTCCATTCATCAAACCGAGTATGCAGACTGTGCAATCGTTGTACTTCTTATCATCTGTATTCTGTGGTATATATGGAGAAATATGCTCCATTTGTTTGAATATACATCGTGGCGAAAAAAGAGAAGAACGATTACTGAGTTTATCATCAGTTATCACCCACCCCGTAGTGAAGGTGGGGGAGTGCCCTACCCCTCCACTCCCCCATTTGGTATGCGCCGAATCTCAGGAGCAAAAATATGGTCCGTCCTGTTTCGGGACTGTCAACCCGACCGCCAGCACCACCTGCGGGGCCCTCGCTCGTCATCTCACCTGCCCGTGCCGTGAAATAATGAACGGGTCGAGGCGTGCGTGCACGAATTGCGAACCCAAACCATGCGACTCGGTACCCGCATCACAAGCCTCCTCGAGCAGTTCGAACCGCCCGATTGGGACGCAAACCGATCCTTCGATGCTGGCAGAGTTCGCTGATAATCTCCTCCGGCGGCGGTTTGTGCGGTTCGGACGGATTGCTTCACGCCAGCCCGGCTAGCCCCGTCATAAATCCGGCTCGGCGCTCACCGCAGCCTGTTGCGGTTACGACCAGTCGTCGCTGGCGGAAAGGTCACGGAAATTGCGTTTGGAATGTCACGTGAGAACGCCCTCGTGGGAAGTCGTGCGTTCTCGTTGGCGCTGTGCTATGTGTCATTTGTACGGCACGGAACTCGAGCTTGGAAGAGCACGCAAGCATATGCATCTCGTCAGCAGACAGTTCGTGCCAGGTTTCACGATTGAGCAAGGCCTCCGCTTGAGGCTGAACCTGGCGAGAAAACGACACATCCAGCCACCAGTAACTTTGTGAACGTGGCCACACTGTGCGCAGAGCTGGTGCCTTTATGACACGGTTGACGGGCATGTAGCAATGTGGAGGCTTTGCATAGCTCAAAACATAGTTTTGGAGCCGGGCCTCTGCTTTAAAAACAACTTAACAATTCAGCATGAGATATGTTTTGGGTGCATTGTTGCTCCCGGCGGTGCACACAGAGGAACGAATCAGCACGTCTTGGAACCCCAGACACTGATCGTATTTGCATTTGAAGATCTCTATCTATGTGCTACGATATCATTTAAGTGGACTCCTCTTCCAAGCGTGATCATTTCACTAGATGATATGCTTAAATGCGATGCTATATCTACCGCGTGTTACCGCACGGAGAAGCCAACCTGGAGGCATTCGCGGATAATATCTAACTTACCGAAGCCACCGGCTACTCATGGCATTGTAGCCAAACCCAACTGTTACAAATTCCAAAACAACTGTACATATTAGCTATTAAGCAATTTCCATTATTTGCTATTTAGTTCCAAATCATGGAGGGGTTCAGGAAAAGCTCACATCTAAACTTTCTGTGGTTTGACTGTATGTGACTGGGGCAAATAATGGCCAAAGCATGTGGAAAGTAGGAGCATTGTGTAGTGTTTCTAGAAGAATCTGCCCCACGTTTCGTACATATCTTATCCAGACCCGTGGCAAACCCTGCTACTCTCTCAAAACTTGTGCCAATTCTAACCCGTTACCTGTCTTACACGGGCACTCCACCAAAGCGTTTGAAGTCATCCGAAACACATCTGCAGCAGCTATGTTTAATAATGCCAATTCATTTGTTAACCCCAATACCTGAAATTCTGCCAGTGTTTCTAAAAACATTGCTGTGGGAGTTACATATTCCTTGCGCAATAAGTTCTTGCAATGCGAATAACCGACCTTCCAAAATCAGACAGTATTTGTTAAATAAAGATACTGAGCATTCACTGAGCTCATCCGTGATCAAGAGCGCTACTGGAAACGTCAGGGCTTTTGACGTTTTCAAAAGAAGTCAGATTGAAGCCGAAAGACGGAAGTCAATTGAATTTGTTTACTCAATTGTTGTGTTGCCTAGGAAAGTATCTCAGAGATGTATGGCTTCATCTAACACTTCGTTGTTGGATCAGATTAAACGATTCCCTAGAAATTGCCTTCGCTGAAACCATGGCCTGGCCTTTACCTGCCATAGATCAGCGACCTTACAAGTTAGGTCTAAGTTTTGATGCCAGACGATCTGCTATTCAACTGTCTACAGCTAAGCAAAATTTGGCGCTCCTACGCCGCGCCGTTCGGGAACCATATTGGAAAAACATTCGTGAGGTCAATTTGACCCCTGCCCGAGCGTGTGTTAGTCTAAAAACTTTGACGTAAGCTTTATGTAAGGCTTGCAGTTAAGTGCCATTTCCCTAGATGTCTGATTCGCATATGAATTTTGCATTAACAACGAACGTTATATTGGAGTGGCTGAAATGAAGTTTAAATTACGCAAATATTGTTTATGTATGCATCAAGTAAGTTTCAGTGCTTCCAAAATGTCCGGAGCATTTTGCTTCACGCGCTGATCGAGGCCTTTTTAACTGCCGCATAGCACACCAGCCACCCACAGGCCATAAGGTTCTTCTTTTTTGGAAAAGCGCATTGTTTGTTACGGTCAAGCTTTGATGGTGCCGTGGTGGCAGCACCACGGCAGCTGCCGCGCAGTAAATTGCTTGTTACGAGCAAGCTTTCATGGTGCCGTGGTGGCAGCACCAAACGGCAATTGCAGCTGCCGCGTAGTAAATTGTTTGTTACGGTCAAGCTTTCATGGTGCTGTGGTGGCAGCACCGAGGCAGCTGGCGGGCAGTAAACCGCCGTTACGGTCAAGCTTTCATGGTGCTGTGGTGGCAGCACCAGCAAGCTGGCGCGCAGTAAACCGCTCGTTACGGTCAAACTTTCATGGTGCTGTGGGTGGCAGCACCAAGGCAGCTGGCGGGCAGTAAACCGCTTGTTACGGTCAAGCTTTCATGGTGCTGTGGTGGCAGCGCCAAACGGCAATTGCAGCTGCCGCGCAGTAAACCGCTCGTTATGGTCAAGCTTTCATGGTGCAGTGGTGGCAGCACCAAACGGCAATTGCCAGCTGCCGCGCAGTAAACCGCTCGTTATGGTCAAGCTTTCATGGTGCTGTGGTGGCAGCACCAAGGCAGCTGGCGGGCAGTAAACCGCTTGCTACGGTCAAGCTTTCATGGTGCTGTGGTGGCAGCACCAAGGCAGCTGGCGGGCAGTAAACTGAGTGCCTTAATACTGTGTCGCCACCGACTGTGTTAATAGCCTCAACTACACTAGGTGACAATTAAGTAAATACATAGTTTCCCATGCACCTGGTTTCCTATTTAGTTGTGTTTCGTTTATTGCAATGCTGCACTTCCTTAAATATGCGTCTGCTGTGGTTATCCCAATGCTTTAAAATCAAAGTAAAAAACTTATTTCAGGCTACCATTAAGCCTTTGTAGGTACTCAAGCCATAAAACAGCACTGGTACATCATTATCCGTTTTGATATTGGTTTTGGTCATCCATCCCGGAGCCAGAGAAATCCCAACAATTAATTCTACAAATCACTGCCTATGCTTTGCTTGGAGTCCGTCCGTGTTGAGTCTTTGCCCGACTTCGGAGAGCGCTGAACGGGCAATCTCGCTTCCAGGAGTCGCCGTTCCCCTGCCGCTGCTGATGCTGCTGCTGCTGCTGCCGTTGCTATCCGGCACGTCAGCCGGGGCCCGCCTCACTCTCCGAGTCCGCCAGCGTCGTCAACTTGGTGACGGATGTGGTGGCGCGCGCCACCACCGCCTCCGAGGTGCTCACTCTCAACCTCACCAACCTCATCATCTGGTGGTCATCAAGGCCCATCGTCATCGTCTTCGGCATGTTCGCCTTCGGGGGCGGCTCAACCTGTTCGGGAACCACATTTGGCAGGTGAGAGCGTCGCAACTGGTGGCGAACGTTTGGATAGAATGGGAGGAAGTGCCTTTCCAGTTTATCGTGTCCACATCCAGCCTCATCCCAGCATCAGTGACTGTGTTCGACGTTGTAAAGGGGTAACCTGTCTACGTGAGATGGACTATCTTGTGTGTGCATTTGATTCAGGTGCCATGAAGAGATTTGGCGGCTGGACTGGGCAGCATGATTGTGTTCTTTCAAATGTAAAGTTACTATTATCATCGCCTTTAACCGTTTCTGATAAGATATGCGGCGCATTTGAAGCAAACACTGCAGCATAACACTTCAAAACGCATTTTACAATGTCTAAAAATGACGATGACATTTGACGCTGTCATCGATCTTGGTGAAGCAATGTTTGCCCGATATTCGGAGATAGTGGAAGGAGGTCTCACGAGAACATATAAACGAAGCCATGCTAGTGGTGCTCTCGTGCTTATTTCGCACGTGATCCCCTGTTCTGCGCTGCCCTGAAATGGAGCGAGCTGCTCCAGCAGTGCCGGACGCGTCGTACGCTACCTTGCCCGCAGGTCTGCTGACTCGGCGGAGTCGCAGCCCTGGCTGGACCGGCAGGACATGCTGCTGATGCTGACGTACCTGCTGAGCTCGGACGGCGCCGGCTACGGCTGTCTGGACCGGGTGGCCTGCGAGCAGCCCGATCGCGCCAAGCAGTACATCACCGCCGGCAAGATGCTCTTCAGCGGCGCGAAAATGGTGGACGGGTGAGGCCCGGGATGGGGACTGGGACCGCTCAACCCCGCTGATTGCCGGGGCCACCTTCCTGCTGTGAAGGAGAGTGGCGTCCTCAGCTGGCTTTAGGGTCGGACCGAGGAATACGTGTCCCTATGCAGCAGTGCGCGTCTCCGTCCATCCAAACGGCGCTGCTGATGGTGGACTGTTCTCAACGCCAAGCGTGGTGGAGGATCCCGTGCCACCGAAACATGGCCGGCTTCCTGGGGAACACACATGACGGGTACGCCATCAGTCACATGATATTTATTGCTTAATATTATGCAACAATATGGCATGGATTTTGAGACTATGTGATGGCAATGGCATCCCGCGCCTTCGTGATGATCTCTGCAAGGTTTGTCGGCACGTATTAGCGTCATAGGTTAAGTCTTTGCATAAGAAACGCACGCTCGACGGTAATTGCGTTATGTAGCCGCACTGCCTCCTTTGAACCCACTGTAAAAACTGCCGACACCGTAAAGTGGAAAGTGAGATGAAGTTCAAGCCTAGGTCACAGCGTGTCAGTTGGCCTTGCAGAATGCTTTACGGTATTCTCGTGATGTTTTTGTTTTCAGTCGATGTCCTTTCCGCATGCTAACGCATGCTTACTGCGTCCAGACCGGGACAACTGCTAAGTAAAACCTGAGGCAAATTAGCCCTGGCCTGTATCAGAAGAGTCGGTATTTCACGAGTGAGGGCAATCATAATGCCACCCGTGAATTGCGTGTATCATGGCAGCCCCTAGAATCGGTACAGACACTAGGGAAGCAAATGAATGGCGTGACAGCCTTGATGTCATTTATGAACCATGAACCGCAAAAATCGTCGCTTTCTGATAAATTTCGGCTAGTTACAGGCTTTGCAGTCTGGACTAAAAGCGCTGAAGTCCTTTCGTTTTTGTGCAGGGGTCAAGAATACAACACGCAGCCCGCTAGTCCGTATAAGTCGATGGATTTCCGGTGGCTTTAAATCACGATAAGTGTCTCATTGAGTCCACTCACCGGAAAATAGCCCTGGCATATATGGGTCATACCTCTTCTGCATGTACAAATAGAGCTCTTTCGACATCAGCTATGTGGCAAAGCAGAGCATGGTGTCCTCAGGTGTGCTGGCTACACGCTTTTCCAATTATGGCGAAACCATAGCGCGCGCTCACCAAACCGCACCCGCCTCACGCGTGCACTATTTCGAGCCCGTCGGCGGCACAACATTGCCCCACGAGACTGCGCCACTGTCGCCATCGCATCACAAGCGACTCCAACTGCACCCCCGCCCCTCTCCGCTACCCTCTTCTAGCCGCGGGCATTGCTCGGGCGCGTTCCGCCGCGTGCCCCGGGGCGGTGGGCGTGCCGTCGGGGTCACGACCCGTGACCGGCGTCGACACCGACAGCGCCGAAAGTAAAAGTGCCGCCGGCGACGCGCCATTGTGCCCGGCGGGCGATGGCTGGATGCACGCTCTAACAGCCGCGGGCGGCAGATGGCGCGATAGGTCAGTGGAGGCGCCGCGGGGCCACTTTCACTGGCGGCGGCGGCGCTTCTTGTGGCCGTGGGCGGCGGCCGTGACGGCGGAAGGCCGGTCGGAACAGGAACTGGCCAGGTGGGAGGGGCAGGGGAAGGGCGAATCTCCGGACCGTGGACTGCCAGGAGAGGGCGCTCTCGGGTCGCCGATGTGGGAGGGGTGGCGACTGGACGGGGTGAATTGTTGGACAGCGATTGGCGTAAGGCAGTCAGGATAATAGTAGACGACTGTAAACTGGCAAGAACATGAGCGTATTAATGGAGCAGGGCAAAAAGGCGTCCTTTTTACGGTTCACCCATCCTAGTGCGAACAGAAAATGGATACAAATGCTGCTTTTTAAATCTAACAAATGCCGAACAATGGGAGCGCTGACACTGCGTTCTCTCTTCTGGCATGAAGCTGCGGAAGGCAGCGCTGTCAGAATAATGGCACCGCTACCGCGCATTTGCTTCCCATACCATGCGTGCCAAATAAAAAAACTTTGTATAATCTAACAGGTAAAGAAGAGATTCTTCGTGATTATAAAAATACGGAATACATGCAAGCAGTATAACGCGACTATTTACGTTTTGAGTAAAGGACAGTGTTTTTCTAAAGCCACAGCCCCCATTAAGTCCTACGCTGTTTTTGCATAGCTTGGGCGCGGTTTCAGGCGGGGCCGTCGCGAAATTTTGCGATGAGGCTCAAAATATAGCCAAAGAGGCTAACTGAGGTTGAACCGAAGGGAGATCATGTTCTCCAGGTGCAAAACATAATCTTCCCGATATATGGTGTTTTTGCCATACAAGCTGCAAGTTCTTGGCAACCTGTCTTTTGCCAGAATTGATCTCTAAGCAGGCTAAAAAGACAATGAGTGGAACGTGATACTGGTGTCCGAGAAATTTAAACAAATTATCGAATTGCTGTTGTCTCCTGGTCGTCCGGTGTTCGACCTCTGTTAAAGATGTCAGAGCAGGAGTGTAATTTCCCATTCAGCTTATGGGCCTGCATGCTTCCGGTTTTGAAAAAGTGGGCTAAATTTATGGACGAACCCGTGTGTTGGTGCACTGGGGGATGATAGCTTTCGTCATTTTGCACAGCGCAGCCCCAACTCACTGCGCAGAACTAGGCCTCCGCACCAAAACAGCTTAAAGTAAGGACTCAGGAAGACAGGGCTTCCACAGACGCTTCAGCTGTCCCATTACATCGACAGACCAAATGATGTGAATGATACAAGTTTTATCTGTACTTGTATAACGTCATGCTTGCTTTCGGCATTTCTGAAGGGCTACCTTTACCAGAATCATGGTGGCTGCATGTTGCGATGTTTAGCAAGCACCTTTGTGGCGTTACAAAACCTTGCAATGTTGCAAAAGCCGTTTGTTCAGAAACTTGGAGTGCAGCAATGCAATTAACTATGATCAGTATATTATCTTCTACCCCGTCGGATGGCAACTCGTGGTCGGACAATCTTTCACGCACGATAGATCACTGTTGTTGCTTTTAGTGTTTCGTATGGACGTGATAGTCATGCATCTACGGGTCGTACTATTACACCTATTGTCTGTCATGTGCTCTGCAACAACGATTCGCCGTGTTTTGTGTCGTCCTGTGATGTAAATTCTCTCTAGCTATTTACTTTCTGCCATTTTGCCATAACATCACATGTTGCTTGAGTTCAGCAACAGATGGCACCACAATATCCCTTGGGGATATCGGAAGCATATCTCCGACTTCCTCAGTTATCGACAGTTACAAAGGTCTTTCAATCAGGACGTTTGCCAGGGGTTTAATGCATTACACGGCCACGTACTTATGTTCCTGCTGCGTGCATCAAACAACTCTGGTCCACATTAGCATGTGCATTGACAGCTTTGAAAAGAAATGATTACACATGTCCCATATTTGCGGTCATGCATTACACATCAAGCATATATGTCTCATCTATGCATGCATCTTGCATGCACACATGAATGATACACGAAAATCTTCCACTCATCAATCTAACTGACGCTCGCCGCTCCTCCCGCAGGATCCTACCAGTGGACAGCAAGTACGAGGAGGTGCTGGACGGCATGCAGAAGGCGGTGTACCACGGCCAAAGCGGCGGCGTGTGCAGCCTGCGCTACCGCTGCTCGGAAACACTGACCCGTCCCCCACCCCGTCCTCCTCTCTCCTTTTGCTACACTGTTTTCGACAGCAGCCGGCGGCGGCAGCCCCCTCGCCGCGGCGGCACCCAGCTTTGCTCCGACAAGGCGGGACCAGCGCTGGGCGAAATCAGCGCTGGGCGGGACCAGCGCCGGAGGAGCTCGCGTTGCCTGAGACGTTCCCAGCGCCCTCTTTTAACACGGAATTGTTGATTGATAACGCGGGTGAGCCCGACCGTTCGGCGATCGTGGCGCGTAATGTCCGCTTTGGCAGCTGGCTGGAGAACGGCAGCACGCCGTGGCGGGGGTCCCGACAGAAAAATGGCGCGTGCTTTGGGGCAGAGCGGAGCCTGTTGCCAGCCGTGAATCATGAATATGTCCTGAAAACGCAACAGGTTAGTTTTTTCTAGGACTGCCACGTTTGGAATAGCTTCTCTGCCGTGCAAGAGCTGGAGAGTTCGTTTTTAAAGCGGAATATCAACACAGTTTCTAAGCGGCATATCGTCTACCAACAAAAATCTGCAGATGCAATGTCGCCACGTTTATCCAAGCCTACTCGCCGCAGTAACGTAGATCAGAGTAAAATGTGTATACAAGGCATCAGTCAGGATCGCCGTTTCTCTCATGCTTGGTGCGATATGTGTACATACATGCCGCGTGTGTTCCGCTCATGTGGGATCTATTTATTGTGCATATGTACAGCGTTTCAGAGATTCGCACTAATCTTGTCCATCATTGAGACAGGCTAAGTCAATTAAATAAGACCCCACCGTAACCTCCTTTGGCGGGCGATATACGAACATTATCACCAGCCGCATTGCATAGCTGTGAAAGTGCGTGGTGATCTTTTTTACGATTTCTGCTTGACATTTAGTTGTACTTGTACTGTGAATACTCAATTATTGCTTCAACTGTGCGTGCATTGCCTTAGGCGTGAAATGCAATGTCTTGCGTCGTGCATATTTCCGAACGGCTTATCATAAGGAGACGACTGAAGTGCTTTGGCAGTTACGGCAGTGCTTGCTTATGATCTGTTTGACCAGTGCGGTTTGTTTACGTTTTCTGCCGTTGTGTTACTTTGCTGGTGTCTGTTACTTTGTGCGAGCCTGTGCTCACATGATCAAGTTTTGTGGACATAGTGATTACAAAATGAAACTGTGCGACTATTGCGTATTGCTTGTTACATAATCTGTCCAGCGTTCACGCCGGCTGGCATCTTTCGTCAGTGCTTAGAGAGCCGTTTGCGCAAATGGTTCGTGTTGAATCATTGACTTTTTGTTGGCAGAATAGATCATGGTCGGAATATACGGCATCGCCACAAAGCATGTGACTGGCACATCATCACTTCGACACGAAGGTCCTCAAAACCAAACCTTCAGGAGCGAGGACGCATGGCAGTCGACTGTGAAAGGCCAGTAGGCTGCTGGGGATACCACCATCTCAACACACCCGCACACCGTCGGCGTCGGCGGCAGATGCGCCAGACACGACCTGACCTCGCGCCCCGCGTCTGACCGGCCCAGCTCCCCGACGCTGCGCCGGAGGGGGGGGGGGGGTACACTGGGTCACAGCAGCCGCCGGTGAAACCCCGCGCGGCACACAATGGCGCTGGTGCGACAATTAGCAGCGTCTAGACGCCGTGTCGACGGGGACCATTGTCCATCCGCGCCCTGGCGGCACGCGGCCCGGGCATTGTTTACCACCCGGCAGGCGCTGGGCGCAGCTGATAGCCGACGCTGGCGTCATGCGTCATCGCTGGTGACGACCATGGTAGTCACTATAATCGCGGGGCATTCACTGCTGTGTGCGGCTGCATTCGTCATGGATTGTGTCGTAACACTTCACGTCACGTACCGCGATAACGGAACGGTCGCGCGCGGGCGGGCGTTGGAATGGGCAACGGTGTGGCTCGAGTTGATTGGGGCGTGACAAATAACATGCATGACATGCGGACTGTAAAAAGGCGGGGAAGTTAAGGAGATAAGAAATGTCACTCGTATCGTGGTTGCCCTTCTTGATCACTGATGGTGAAGCAGCGCAGTTTGTCGCAAATGATTGAGCAGGCTGGAGGCAAGCGCAGTTTTAAGCAAATCGTGCCCAAGCAACATCCATGTTAAGGGGCTCTTTATCCTAAACAACCTGGCGTGGATCAGGCTTTGCATCTCTCTATGACTATTTCCATCGGTGAAGAATGCGGTGCGGCAGATATGGCAGGGGTCCCACCCAATCACGTGAACACAACTGTAAAAAATCAAATCCATTGGGCGAGACTTGCAACGGGAGCTAGGTCACCCGAACGTGAACTAGCGTTCTTCGTTCTCCCGTGTGTTTTCCCTGGGATTTGTCCAGCATTCTCTCCGTGATAACGTCTCTTGTTCTCTTCAGTGTTGATTACGACCCCAATATTTATGTGAATCAGATCATGAAGCTGCTGGAAAGCAAAAACACCCTGGAAGCGGAGGTGGACAGCATAGTCTCCAGTGCCTGATGTACCTTCAGAGCAGGTTCGGCCCGTAAGTTCAGCTCCTGACTGTGGAACACCTTGCCATTAAACTAGAGGATGCCACCCCATTCCGGCGGATAAGTAAAATATCATGTTTGGGTGAGGGGGGGGGGGGGGGTTACGTTCAGTGGAATGACATCTTTTGAAGTGTGGTACGAGGCAAGCGAAACAGTAAAAACGCCATGTGGATTTTTTTTTAATCGGCATAAGCGAACGGAACTCGTCGTCATCCGGTGCCAATGAGAATAGAGCGTCGTCGTCACTGGGACTTTACGACGCACTCAGAGGCTTAGGCTATATGAGGTCGCCTGCCTAACATCCTGGCAAGAAGCGCGGGCACCACGGAAAATCAACACAGCGGCCATCAATGCATGGCAATATCCGACTTTTATTCGGTTGGGAGCCGTAAGTGCTCTGATGTGCAGCATCCGCATACCAGACGTCCATCGCTGGAATATCGCCTGACTTTGAGCCTGCCGAGGACGGACCGTTTTAATGGGTCAGCGAATTAAATTTGGAATAGCTTACATTCCAGGTGACCTTGGCTGCTGTATTTGGAAATAAACGGCAACAATTCGTGTAGAAATTGCTTACAAAAGAGAGCTACGCACCACGTAGATGTCACGACCCGGCCCATCTTGGTCCAGGCCATAGTGCTGCTGGTTTCGGGAAAAACGTTTGGGGCTTCTCGGTCTGCTGCTGGCATACCTATGGGTCGCACAGCGTTGAGGTCGCCCAATGATTTGAGAGAAGACATATGCACCCACACCGCACTGCTTGTTTAATGTTTTATCTGCTCTAGTTACCTAGCTTTATCATTAAAAACGCCCATGAATGTATGGAACAATGGTTTGAGCGATTGTGTGTGAGGGTGTGAATACATTAACAAGCACTTTTGACGGACCATTTGCTTATTTGTGTTATCTGTTAGTGTTAGTCTACACTTGGCCGTTGAGATTTGGGACCCGTGCTTGTCAATTGTTCTTCAGCATTTTCGCGATTTGAAAATTGTGCGTTTTCCCATGTTTATCGAGTGGAGATGTAATGGCAATACCAAAACGTTTACGTGTTGAAATGTGCCTTTGATCAGGAAGCCTGCGTGTAAGTGTTTTGCAAACAATATGACACAGCTTTCAAATAACTGCAACTGTGTTAAAACCCGGTCAAAAGAGCCACTGGCCGGGGCCGAGCAGACGGCTGCAACTGCAAAAATCGCCGTTTAGCTCACGTTAAGACTAACTCGAGCTGCGTCCCTCGCTTTTGTACGATATCGAGGCCAGACGAGTGTAGTGAGGTAAGAGGTGTAGTTTCCTATGCCGCAATGGTGCGGTGTAAATATCCAGGTCTGCCTGGACCTTCGCCCCAACCTCCCAGCCGGCCAACACCTGCGCTCGCTGGTCGGGAAGCTGGGGCACCAGTCATGACTGGGAGTTCGTGTATGTCAGAAGCCGCCTGTGTAATAGACATTGATCGTTGAAAATAACAGTGGCTTCCTTCTCTGTGATCTTCCATGATGTGCTGTCAATCTTGCGCGAGAAACCCAAGCCTGTTATGAAGGGCCCAGGGATATGACATGGTATGTCAATATAGCGTAACTGAGAAAAAGAATGTTCGTGGGAGGCGATTTAGCGGTAAAAAATGGCTCCTTCCATGAGTTTTTGCTTTGAAGTATTCCCTGATGATGCGTTGCACGTAACGCGTGTTCGGGAAAAGCAAACAATGAAAAGAAGTTCGATGGCGCTTTGTAATTTACCTCCAAGCTACCGTGCGTTGATAAGACTAGTCAGTTAATTCATCAATTAAACAAGCCATGGTGGGCGACACCTGGCATTATTGTGTGTGATAATTGTGACTTAAAGCTAATGCCTTGTATCTTGAGAATATCAGAGGCTTGATGAAACGTCGAATAAATATAAGAAAGGCGACAGAAACGTTGTTTACTTGGACTTATCTCATTTTGGGTTTTGATTCAGTTCTTAACAAGCACAGCCAGAAAGCAAGCACTTAATACGCAAGATTAAAAGTACGTCTCGGATGATCACAAACAACGATGCCGCTGTCGTTTCCAAAGAGCCAAGCGTGAATATATATATATATATATATATATATATATATATATATACATGTTGAGATCTTTTGGCAGGACCCTTTCTCTTACGCATGTTCGATTACAAAGACTGCTGACTCAGCACTGACGAGCCTTTTTATGCATCGCTCTAGTTTCCGGGCTTTTGACTCAGCATTATTGTTTAGATTAAGTATAATTCACACAAATCGCTCATGTCTTCGTCGCTCATTACATTGTTATGCTTCGAGATCTTATCTCGTCGTCGGAGAAGACTGAACGGCACAAGAAATAAGTTTTGAATTGCGTAAGTTGTTCGGTGCATTAGCGAGGAACCCAACTTTATCTCCATTCTCCTGGTTTTTTTTCTCCGAGGAATAAGGCTAACACTACTGTCTTATTATAGAAATAAGTTTTGAGTTTTAAAGGATGAAAATTGCGCACTACTGTCGGAACACATATTTTAGTACGGAGAACACAAATGAAGCGTGGCTAATTGAAGTAGGACAGAATCCCATTTTTACTTTGATGCATGCAAACTATACTCGTAATGGGAACACTACAAAGACATAAACATATTGCCACAATCACATCAGTAGTGCTTACCGCCCACCACCTGATAGTTCAAGGGTTTTTCAAGAATTGGTTTGTCTGTTAGGGCTGTAGGGAGTTCTTTAATGAACATGCTTCCCCAAATTTTACGGCGTCTTCCGTCATTGCACGTCCGTAAAATGTCAGTGTTGTCTGTCAGTTGTTGTCGTGTCAGTGTTCTGTGGTGTTCGTGTTGCATGTGGTGCAGAGGTACCCCGTCACATCAGTGAATTGTCAGGCGTCGTAAGAGTGTCATCGTGGTCACACCAGTGTAGTGATCGGAACAAAGTTTGCAGCCTTCTATGTTGCATTTGAATTGATGTACTACGTTGATGCGTTTTAGTTTCTCGGGTTTGTCCGGGCTGCTTCTCATAAGGAAGTTAGAGATTTTCTCATTGCGATAACACATGACAATATCTATTCTGGGGGCGTTCTTGACTTTTGCATGTCGAAAGATGATTCCCCGTAGAGCTTTTTCGTCTTCTGCGTGAGCGAATGTCATTTAATTTTGATAATACAGTTGGCGGTTGGTTGGTTGTCTTGTCTTGGGTTACCGTCAAAGTGTCTTGTCACATAACGTTGTATTTCGTTTTCAACGCCAGAATTTGAAAGAACATGGTTGTTCACCGAGATCTGTCTGCTTCTTACCAATGTCGAATGCAGTCCTGTCCAATCATAGCAGTGCTTAAATTCACGTCTAATGAATTACCTTGTGACGCTAATGAACTATCTTTATTTGCGAATTTGTTTATGGGACATGTAAAAGCCGGCGCACAAGATGACATGAGACCGGACATTTACTGCCGCTCTGTAGGCGATATCTTTGTGGAAGTTCGGAGCATTGACCAATTAGAACGTCTCAAAAACACCTTTAAAGAGCAGTCTGGTTTAAAATTCACCAAAAAAAAACTCAGTGTGCAAAACATAGTACCCTCCCCGGGCGTGACCGCTGATGGACAAGGGCAACGGTCTACAACGACTGTACGCGTAAAGCAGATTGACAACGGACGGTGCCTAAATGCTGACAGTGAGCATCTTCGACGCCACAAAATCAGCGTCATAAGGTCATTCTTTAGACGCGTATCTAAGCATTGCTCTGATTGAGCAGGACTGCATTCGGAGTTGGTAAGAATCAGACAGATTTTGGTGAACAATGGTTTTTCAAATTCTGATGTAAAAAACGAAATACGGCATGTGACAAGATGCTTTGACAGCAAACAAGACAAGGCAACCAGCCAACCGTCAAACTGCATCGTCAAAATCAGATGGCATCTGCCCACAAATAAGACAAAAAGCTTTACGGGAAATCATCTTTTGGCATGCGAAAGGCAAGAAC